CGACTATTATAGCAGAAATTGAAAAGATTGAATTATCAATAAATAAATAAAACAAATCTGATTTTATTATTAAGAAAAATATACATTATCACTTTGAAAAACGTACGCAATCAGACTTTTTAACGTTATTACTTGGTCGATGATGCAAAAGACAAAGGTTATTGGTAATATCGCTGTCTCTTATACACATCTAGATGTGTATAAGAGACAGTAGGTATATATATATGTATATATATGTATGTATATATATATATGTATATATATATATATATATATATATATGAATATATAAATCCAGATAGCCTTTAATACTGTTAAATTATAACAGTGGCGCAGCATTGTGTAATTATTTACAGGAGGACAACATTCGTTGAGAGCTGTATTTGAATTCATTTACTATATGAAATGGTGACATTGGTATTTCAATATCTGCAATGGAGAACACCAATACTGACCAGGCAACATGACATTAATTACGCACGACCATGGTTAACATTTACTGTGCTATGCCTATTTGAAACCGATCGATTTGATTAGTAACATGGTCTTGTAGAAAGCGTGATTTATATTAACAACACACACACACATTCTATAATTAATTCATTCAATTGTATTTTATTTGCTTCGGTGGAGTTATCAATATTCTAATTAAGATTTATATCTACATGTTATAAAAAACTTCTACATTAATGATATTTACACAGAAAAACTAATTACAATAAGTACTACTGGGTGGGCATCGGTGAACGTTCGGGTTAAAGGTGCCCTATATCCCCAATGCCCTGAAACCAAAACAAAACACCCAGCAGCACTAACATGCGCATCGCGCCTATGGTAGGCATATGTACGGATAAGATCCTTTGATAATTGCATTTATTAAATTGTTAACTGTCTTTATATCCCAGGTGTGAGTGCGCTAATCATAGTTTATAATTTATTATCACGCGTGAAGAGCACCTTTTTTTCAGTAGAGTAATAAAATATGTAGGTCAAATAAATATGTCTGAAATTTAAATGCTTTAAAAGTATCCACGATTCAAATATGAGTCATGTACGTGTTTGTGTCACGTGGTATAATAACATTTGTTAGGAGTTATTTAAGAAAATGTACATATGCCTCCATACAACAATTAAGTCACCCGGTTTTAAAGTAGGACGACATGAACGATGTAGATAGCACTTAACCCGCGGAGAGAAATGAGAATATTTCTGTTCGATCGACAGGTT